AAAACGTGATTGATGAATTCGTTTAACAGAATATTTCCTACCTTTTTATCGGCTTTAGGTTGCCCTAAGGGTTTTTTAGGAGTCTTATAATTGTTTGTTCATGAGTTTGTTTCATACCAAAGCCACTTTTACTATATGGGAGAGTGAGTTCATATAATTAGTCTATCATATGTTACGGAAAGAGTCAATTTTATTACTAACCTATCCTGATTTATAAGTAATCTTCATCTTTGGTCATAAAAATACAGAATTCTATCAGCATATTAAATCAGTTTTCTGTTTGATAAAAATATCTGATTCTCTAGAAAGCAGTAACATTCTTACTCCGATCTCAGCAATTTTAATTCCTTCTCTTGCCACATCGACCCATGTATTTAATCATCCTGTTCTTACTTGATAATTCATTAGCTTATGGGTTAGTTTTGCCTTGGCCATATAAATCACATAAAGTTGTGCGTGTATTTCGTGGATTGGAATTAACCATAGGTAATTGTAGGACATTTTATCACAAATCTTGAACATTTGCGGAACCAAATCCATAACCTAGTCCGGTAACAAATTATGCAAATGCGATGAGATGTGATGACACTGTTGTGTTTCCGAATGTTTTGTATGTAGTGAGGTTTAAATGCGTTGTTCGACCTAGCTACATGTGTACATCAAAGTAAAAACTGTGTACACAATTTTTTTTAATACCTGAATTGACATTAGTACACTTACTTTACCAAAACCATAGACTCCGTAGTTAGTCTATTCCAAAACTTGAACACAGCTCTCATCCTCATCGTACTCATCTATGACACAATTTTCAACCCGATTATCAAAAACTTTTATACCAATAAATGAATCTCATGTGTTCTTTCTTGAATTTAAAAATAAATGATGATTGAAAGTAGGAAAAAAGGCAAGTGCCAACCTTACAATATACATAAGCTTACCCGGTAAGGAATACTTATATGTTCCTTTGAAATTGATATGTCACACTTATTTCATAATTTAAAATTTTCTAAGAACAATAAAGCATAGATTTTTGAACAAAACATTTAAAACGTATCATAAATTCATCAATTTGTTGAAACTATAAAAAACTTGTCATGCAGTGGAGAATTCATTTAAAATCATAAATAATAATGTAAACATTTAATTTTGACAGTTTCAGTAGACCTATGAATACAATTTTAATATTAACAGCCGGTTCATTAAAAGTAGTGTAAAATTATCCATATGGTCGAAATGTAAACAAAATTGCAGAGTGAACTTTAAAGGCCTCTGGGGCAGAGCCCCAAGGAAATTTACCTCGTTTATCTTTTGAGGGCTCACCTACTGACCAATACCTTTATTTAGACACCCCTACCAAGTTTCTACGCCCAGCCGTTCTCTCAAATTAGCTGTGACAAAACCCTGGTTTTCCCCCATAAGAATAACATGGAATGGGAATTTAAAGGCCACTGGGGCAGAGCCCCGAGGGAAATCTCCATGTTTCTCTTTTGATGGCTCATCTACAGACCGGGACCTTTCTTTAGACACCTCTACCGAGTTTCTACGCCTAGCCATTCTCTCAAAATAGCTGTCACAAAGAAAAACAGTTTCAAATTAATATATAGATTACAAACAGATAATAACATTGCAAATACTTCTTTTGGACAGTTCAGTAACTCCTAATAAATGTGTGTTGTTTAAAATACAGTTAAAAATTAACAGCTGTTTCATTAAAAAGTATTATCCACATGACCAAAATGTAAACAAATCCGTGGAGGGATCTTTAAAGGCTTCTGGGGTAGAGCCCTAAGGGAATTTACTTAGTTTTTCTTCTGATAACTCATCTACAGACCAAGACCTTTATTTGGACACCTCTACCAAGTTTCTACGCCCAGCCGTTCTCTCGAATTAGTGGACACAAAGTTTCCAATTAAATATTTAGATTCCTCCATGTTAATCTTATGGGAGAAAACCTAACTTTGATGAATAATCCTGCCCAAACTAATAAAAATTTAAAAACACTTTGTAAAACTGTTTACTTTTCATTCCTATGAGGGGTCAGCGAACGTTTTGTATTGTTCATGAGTTTGTAAAGAAAATGATTTAATAATTTAAATTTTTAATTTCCATATGTTTATAAGGGCATTTAACAACTGCGCAATTAATAAGTACTGTAAACCATATTACTGTAAAAGGCCGGTCTTTATAAATTATATAGTTCTAAAAGAAATTTCTATTTGACCTCTTTGTCACAAAAACACACTTCTTTGTATAATGATTGTTATGTAAATGCAGTTGTCATCGTAATTTACAATTATTGATCCGTCTAAGTGTTATTTTTTCAATAAATGTAAATATCTTGTTTGGTAAACAAAGGATGTAATTGAATCTGTAAGTTAAGACAAGTATGCGAAAACTACAGTTTTCCATTAGCTCAAGCCTAAATTATATTGTATGTAATGTAGCTTGTTATATTTCGTTATTTTGTCACGTAAAAACATTTAAATTATGTATGATGTATAAATATAAAAAAAATTAACAACAAATCCATTTGAAAGTAAACTTTAGACATTGGTACGGTCGACATTGGTACATTATCATTGGCGAAAATGCACATGCACATTAACATTAATGCGGCTATGTGTTTAAGTTGAGACACGTTTGTAGAAAACACTAAAAAGGCAATCTTCTAAACAATTTTAAAATATTTACAACTTTAATTATATAGAAATGTTCATAACACAGTAAGTAATTCCATTAGTTGCATAAGCTTTTACGTGAGTCTTTTTAATTAATTGAAAATTAAGTCTGTAATAACTCTTAAAATAGCTCCTGTAATACCGGTACTTGATAATTGCTTGATTTCTAGCAACGAGTACACAAGTTAAAAATTCAACAATGCATTAACATACTCTCTTTCACGCTGCAAGAATAGTAAACGGCAGAAGAAAGGCAGAACGGCAGAACTGCGGTATTGGTTTACCATACACGCCTGCAACGATGCGCTGCATACCACGCGACGAGTAGCTAAATGAACCGTAGAGTAAGTGAGCCTTCTAATATTTGTAGAGGGTTCACTTACTCTACTGATCATTGTGCCAATGAACTGTAGAGTAAGTGAGCCGTCATCTATTTGTGTAATAGTTATCATGAAATAGGCTCGTATAGTATACGAGCCTACTCCTGTAATTTATTTAAATTCAGTATTTTGGCTCGTATACTATACGAGCTTATTCCTGAATTATTCAAGAATTCATACGCTTGGCTCATAGGCACTATGATCTGTAGAGTAAGTGAACCCTCTTCATTTATTAGATATTTTTGATCGGCTCGTATAGTATACGAGCCTGTAGTGCAAGTGAACCTTCAATATTATTTACGAAGCTCGTATAGACTATGATTTGTAGAGTAAGTGAGCCATGTGTTTTAAGAATTACATATTTGGAGGCTCATAGTGTCAATGATTCGTAGAGTAAGTGAACCCTAACCGTATACTGTATTTTACTTTATTAATTTTGAATTGAGAGTATGCAGTATTGGCACATATTAAATGTATGGTTTAGGGTTAAGTCGTATTGGATTTGGATAGTATATTATTGTTGTATGAGAGCACTATAATTGTCCGATGCGTAGGGAATGGGTGAAGTCAAGACAATGTATTAGCATTTAGTAAGATTATTTTACTGTTCCTATTTCTGTATTGTTATAGATCAATGGAATAAATACTCTTGACTATTGACAATATCATTAGTGGTCGGCTGTAGTGATTTTTGGTTTTAGTTAACTTAAAGCTATCATCATTGACTATGATAGTGTTATAGTAGTGTTATATAGTCAATGCTATAGTATAAAAGCCCGATGACGAATGGGTGAATGGGTCAAGTTTCAAATGGCCAAAATAGTATCATACGTTAATTCCAATAATTTGAAGTTTTTATGCTTTTGCTCTAATAACAAAAAGTTGATTCTTAATATTTTTATTATATGTGTGCTTTGTGTGGTCGTTATTGTTTGTGAACGCATGGATACCTCGATACCTGATACCTGTACATCAAACATAAGTTGTTAGAATGGCTTATGGACCATCCCTGTTATGACTTGAATGAGTTTTTTGTAGAAAGTGCCAACATGATATTCTAGTCATTATATTTATTCTGACTGTCATTATATTTATTTAGTATTAATCTTATAACTCTATGCATGTTTTTTTCTATCTATTTAACTGTACAGCTATTTATTTATTGTAGCGTCTGTGATATGCAAGCCTTTCTATTTTGTATGCTAAAATGTGACTGTGATAATGTATCGCTATTGTTTTATATATGTGTCTCTGACGAGGTCTATTGTAATCAATGATTATTTAATGACCAATAAATTACTTGATTACTTGTACTAAATCTGCCCATCTTTGTAAGCGTGACCATTAATCTGGTAACTCAAGTAAACAGTAAACATTTTACCATGAAATCAGAGTGACATACAAGCTGGCTGAAATTTAGACACACGTTTGTATAGACCTACAATATGGTTTGGTGATAAACTTTACCTCAAAGACGTAATTACTCTGTACAACTAAATTCATATAATGAGTAACACTGTTTCATTATATGATGAAATTACCTTCAAATAATTCCCTCTAGGTATATTTTCCTCTTATATGTAAATAAATTTAAGTGAAATTTTTTATGCACATTGATATTTTTACCTATAGCACAATATTATTTATAAATCTTTTTTACAATGAATGGAAATATAAAAAAAAGAAAATCTAAAACTTTTAATTGACATTTTACATTAAAAATCATTCAATCTTTTAGGACAAGCCCATATTGTTCTCACGATTAAAAATATGTATACTCTGCCTGCAAAGAATACAACAGATAAAAAGATTGAGACAGGATTAATAATGATAGACCGGCGGTTGATTAGCATGTAGAGCAAAGTACACTGTATATAATGGAAAGTGAAACTCAAACCGGATCAAATCGTTATCCACTGCTTGAACCGCAAACAGGCAGACGCTTTCGGCTTTCATGATCAGCTGACCTTGACTCGGGCTGTGAGGGAAGTGGAAGTGAAAAGTGACCAAGACCGGGCCTCAACTTGATTTGGGAGACGGGAGACAATCTAAGTCGACTGCAGACCAGACGACGACTATCACATTGGCCATGTCGTCCAAGAAAGTTATAAATTTCGGAGCTGGACCAGGAAAACTACCTGAAGAAGTAAGTATTGTTCATTGTTTTAAATTGTACCCACATATACTTGGGATGCAGATTAACATTTTTTCCTGTTAGGGAAAGGATGGTAAACACTTTTTGTTGTTTTTACCGACTTTAATAGTAAATTATTTTTTACTATAACTCAACTTTTTTGAAGCTCTGTGTACTTTTTATACTTCTGTATTATTAAATTTGAAATAATCATGACCCATCAATAATGTCCAAGCCTCAGTTAAAAACAGTAAAAATGTGTAATGAAGAAAATAAACCCCTAAACAAATTGTACACCAAGTATATTAAAAAAAATATGAATTATAAATAGGGTAAATGTATAAATTATCAATTGTAATCCAATAATGACATAGCAATCTGCACTATTTATTTACCTTGCTTTGTTATATTTCATTTTATACCACATTTTGCAATTTAAATTAAATTAACATTTTTATTTAATTTAACACATTTAGTGGAAATAGCTACACACAAACAAGCTATAATAATTACCTTAATAATAAAGGGTAGTGTAATTTTAAGCCTTTATTTTTCATGTAAATTAAATAAAGAAACCAATATAGATAGACATTGTACCATATTTAGTATTTTTTCAAGTTAATTTTAAAAATTCATACAGAATTTAATATATAAATTAGTTACATAAGACAGTTGAGCAAACTACAGGAAAAAACCAGATCTTTGTCAGAACAAGCAAATTTAAAAATCATGTTAAGTTTTGCTGGGATGAGTCTAGGGCAATCCAAGCGTTTTGATTGGCTAATAGTTTTGGTGGGAACATCCCCTCCTCACAGCCCCATGTGCAGTAGGAAATTTCTTCATTCTTAGTTCAAAGCTGGAACAAGTCTCATCTGTCTTCACATCACCCTCAAATCAGAGGGTTGACGTTATCATGGGCAAAATTCCCTAAAAAACAATTTTACAGTAGAACCTCTTTAATCCGAACCCCCGTAATCCGAACGTCCACTAATCCGAACCCCTCATTGCTATACTCTATACACAGTACAGCAGTTCTTTATTGTATACTGTATTTAATTTACAGTAGTGTTTATTCACTATGTTAACTACTGTATTAAATAAACATTGTATTTTACTTTATAAAACCTTTTTTCACTATTCCCAAAATAATGTTGATCAATTTTAGCCATGTTTTAGCTATTGTTATGTAAAAACAACAATATGTTCTGTAATCCGAACTATTCAATAGTCCGAACTACCCCTGGTCCCAATTAGTTCGGATTAAAGAGGTTCTACTGTATTAGCTTTTCTATTAAATTAAATTTAAAGCGATGTGTGCTCTGGTTTTTGTTTTATATATTAAAATTTTGAAAGGTACTTCTCTCTCCAAATATACTTAAGATTTCCTAATTATACTTGTACTTCCTAAATAATTGTACTTTTGATGTGTTGGTCAAAGGATTGTGTCGAAATGCCTTTAATTGTTTGTTAAATAAATTCAACTTTTGTAAGACATGTGTTGTATATTTTCCATACCAAGAAATAGAAATACAAAATTAAATATGTCATGGTACAACATGTAAACTCAATTTTATTGAAATATTTATTTTAGCAGAATTCTTTTATTGATCTGTAAAATTATGTAATTTGATGATTTATTAAAAGTTAGTGTAAATTTGTATGTTAAGATTTTTATAAGGATGATTTCCACTGAACCTACAAATAATATTGAGATTGTATAATTTAATGACATTAATTAGTAAAACTTTATACTGAACAAACAATCTTAAATTTGGGTAGTATCAGTCACAGCCCTTGAAAAACACATTATGTCAGCTCAGATTGGTGATAGCTTATCTCAACAACTGACCATCCAACAACAAGACATATCTTGGGTCTAATTAGTTTTATGATGTCAAGTTTATATGAATTAGTTGCATTTAACGACTTCTTAGTAGTGACTTGCTATTTTGGCAAAACAACAAATTAAAATAAATGCGACTACACCTAATTAAATTTACCCAACTAACAATTTTGATGCTGCACAAACAAAAGAATGTTATAATTCAGAAATAATCGTTCATTATGTAAATAGCTTTACATAATTATCTTCTACAATATACATAACACAAAGAGGTTTTCCCTTTTGCAGCCTTCCAACTTAACAGATTTTTATAATTGAAGTGTAATTTTAACGCTTACGATCTAGCGCACCTGTGAATGGTAGTTAAAAATGTTATTTCCTTTAGGGCTTTCAGATTTCACTCTTTATAGTTTCAGATATAAAATCAACAAATTTATTTTTATTTAGTAGTTATATTCACACCTAATAACTGTTCTAATCAAACATAATCTTGAAAAGGTAAATGGGCATTTTGCACTGGCTTCATTTTACCTTGGAAACAAGTTTTGACCCTAAACTATGCAATTTGCGCATGGGTTGCCTCGTATTTACCTTAAAACTAATATTCTTATTTACTATGCTTTTTTTCAATAATATGTAATGGGGTTGAGTTCTGGGGATTATTATATGAGGTTAACTTCCATCAAACTCGTTGCTTTTGTGACGGAGCTCTCAACCCACGCTTGCGGCTTACGCCACCACCGTGAGCCCCCCTCGTGCCACCGCGTTGCCGTGTGTGCTAGTGATGTGAAAAAACAACAGTAACTCACAAACACTTGAAAATAGCAAGAAGTTTTGTATTTTAAAGTAACTTTGAAGATGTCACACCCTGTTGCAAAATGTGCATAAATTAAATTGGATCAATTGGTCTTCAAGAACACAGGGCAACCAACAAAATAAAAGGTAACCATAATGAGCTTTATTTGTAAACAGGTAATGTTGGAGGTCCAGAGAGAGTTTGTGGAGTATGGCGACTCAGGAATTAGCGTGGTTGAGATGAGTCATCGATCCCAGGAATACGAAGCCATCAACAACTCTGCTCAGAGACTTATACGAGAACTGCTGTGAGTAATAAATAACATTGGTTACAAACGAAAATAAAAGTTCTGTAAATTCTTCGTAACTTCTTAAAGTTGTAAAACCTCTTCAATCCTGATTAGTTCCAGCAAAAACACAATTTTCCCCCCGTTTTGAAACTATCATCACAAATATAAAAAATACTTAACCATCAAAAGTTAAAACGCCTAATTCTACTGAAGATGTGAAAGTGAGACTTGTTCAATCAGTCACTGGTTTGGTAAGAGAGCTAAGACAGAGGGGTAGCATAGAGGTATGTATGAAAAAGTCGATAAACTCTGTGGTACACATCACGCTATAAGACAGTACGTTCGAATGCAATGGCTAAAGCCAAAAGCACATTAGATCTTCTGAGAACAGGCAGAAGCAGCAAAAGATGAGTATACATCAAAATATCTGCTAAGATGTATAGTTATGCCGCACAGAAATAGTATGCTGCTTTTGGTACTTGATTATCCAAAGGGAGAGTCGCATAAGGTTGAATATGTGAACATGAGGTGTAATCAAGAATCTAATGTTGTTTGTTAAACCCTAAATGAAAGAATATTTAATTAAGTTTCTTGGAAGCTTACAACATAATGTTATTAGTGTAGGCGGTGTTTTCAGATCTGAATGTACGTACATAGTCCACTAAAACTAGAGAGTAGTAAGCTCATTTAACTGATTACAAAATGAACTTTGACTCTGTTATGGTTCATTCATGACCAAAATTATCATCACAAAGATTTCAAGCTTCAATGAATTATTCCTTTGTATATATAGTCTGTTATACAACTGTGACCTTAAAGTAATTTTCCCTCAAAGCAATCACGTTTGTTTTTTATTTTGATTTGTATTATTTGGTTAAAACTAGTATTATGATAAAAGAACACAAATATGTATTCAACAATTAATTGATAACTCATCTTTAATGTGTCTAGCTTCTTATATTTTTGTATTACTTTTTACTTCCTCTGTGCTTGAGGCCAAACTTTAGTGGTCCAATATGCCATTTGGGACTCCGTACAGGCCCACTTTTATAAACGGGCAGACTGGGCATATGCCCAGGGGCGCCGAAGGTTTGGGGGCGCCCACCGGGACCCCTCAACCACAGCCTGCCTCGCACTAGGAAAAATAGGGGCACTGCATTTGGGTTTGTCCAGGGCTCCACTGACTCTTAACGCGGCCCTGACACCGTATCTCCAAGCTAGCAAATTTCCCCTATAGCGAATAAGCTATTGTTATGTCCTATGTCGATAACTCAAATAGTTTTGGTCTGATTTTGATGAAATGTGTAGGGCTGGATAAACTTGAATGAGTTCGCAAACCAGCGTGATCTAATAATAACAACAGAGTGTTATGATTTTTTTATGTAATTTTTAAACAAAATTTGGTATACTATGATATAAAATCTGATTTCCTATGGGTTACAGAGACATCCCCGACACATACAGTGTAATGTTCATGCAAGGAGGAGGTACTGGGTTGTTCTGTGCAGTGGCAATGAACCTTATGTCACGTAGCGGAAAGGCTGACTACATCGTTACAGGTGATTTTTAAACGAGGTGTAATATTATAATAAGGGGTAGTCCACAAGCTGTCTATATGACAATCGGGTTGAATACGTCTACAGTGTCAATTGAATTTTTGTTTGTGTGTGACTATCAGAAACGTGTTTTTAAAGACTCAAAAGATGACCTCCAAAATCCAAATTTTGTTAAATCCTCTAATCTATTGTTAGTCATAGAATTTATGTCTTTCAACTTCAAAATGAAGTGAAAACTGATTCGTCATGTAGAAAACTTGTGGATTACGTGTCAACAAATAAAAATTTGAAATTTAGAAAAAGGTAATGTTTTTTAAGATAAAATAAGTGTGATTCTTCTATTGTACATTTAGATAAGTTATTTAAACCAAACTGATTGTTTTGATGGATCCTAATTACCAGGTTCGTGGTCTGCCAAGGCTGCCAAAGAAGCTGCGAAGTATGGCTCGGTCAACCTCGTCTTACCCAAGACTGACTCCTACGTTGACGTTCCTCCTCAGTCATCATGGAACTTAGACCCAGAGGCTTCATATGTCTACTATTGCGACAACGAAACTGTTCATGGTAAGATAAGTTGGGTTAGAATAGTTTTGTGTCGCATGATTCTTAGTTTTAACATTAGGCATTAAAACACATTGAAAATGTTATAGGAATGAGATTATGATGATCACTATGTAGTAGCCTACTAGCTGGACTAACAATCAAACATTCACATACAAAACCATTCACTTACTATCATGTATGTAAGCATAACTCTACAAAAATTGCTAAAAGCTATACATGCCACTTTTTGCAACCTAGGAGGAAAGCTTGAAACTACTACTGCTTAGGCTTCGGATTCTTCAGTATTGCCATTATGATTAATTAAATTAGCCTTAACATTAATATTTTTAACGTATTCATTATTTTCAACAGGCTTGGAGTTTCCTGATATCCCAGACACCAAGGGAGTACCTCTCGTGGCAGACATGTCATCTAACATACTCACAAGGCCTTTTGACATCACCAAGGTAAACTTTCAAAACTGAATACCGAACAATAAATATCTAAGATAATATCTAAAAACTATCCGAGGTACTCATCCGTTGATTATGGGTAAGTATCGGCTACATAAACAAAATGTGGATCTAAAGTTAAAAAGGCTATGAATATTTTTTTACCTATTCAGCTCAATTTTTAGCAGGATAACTATAAAAATAAATAATGACCAAACTGTGGCAATCAACCTGATACCTTTGAAGGTATTGAAAAGGAGATTCATTTAGGTTAAAAGTTTGATAAATACATAGATATGTGTTTTTATTTCCTGAAAAATTAGAAAGAAATTATACATTACCAAAATATTTGTTGTTGAACATTGCTCTCTGTGAGTCTTCTATCCATCTACAGTATATTTTTTTGTCACCCACTTATTCTTAAGAATATTTTTATTTTTTACAATCGTCAAGGATAAGACGGGGTTTTCCACTACAAGAGTATTTTAATTTGTTTCTTTAATTTACCTTAATACATTCTGGATGAAGGTGAATATGTGACCAGAAAGTTTGTTCCTAGTTTGGTGTGGTGTTTGCTGGGGCTCAGAAGAACATTGGTCCGTCAGGCACAGTTCTGGTGATAGTTAGACGAGATCTTCTCGGCAGCCCACTCCCCGTCACTCCGCTCGTGTGGGACTTCTCAGTCATGACTAAGGACAACTCCCTACACAATACTCCTCCCACCTTCGGGTAAGCAGTCCTAACATTTCTCAGTGTGGGAACACTCTCCATCATCTGAGAACTGACTAACATAGGATTAATATTTAGGATTATTGAAAAAAAAAAAACAGAGTGGAAAAGCCATACCCAAACATGAATTTGAATGGATGGTATTGTTGGCCTCTGTAGACATCAAAACAAAAAAGTAAATTGGTCCCGGATCCAAGTCTTACAATGTGACATACCACTTACAATCGCTTATTCCCCACTTAAGGAGTTTGCAAAAAAGTTTTCAAATTACATTACAACCTTCAACGATTTTAAGACCCAAGTAATGATCACCAATTATGTTAAGAGGATAGAAGAACTAGCCACACACTATAATGCAATTCAAAAATATCCTTGCCAAGTGGCTTGAATTGACTCTGTGTGAATTAAATTTAATATTGATTAGAAGAAACATTGGTTCTTTCAATCAAGCCAAATCTAGTTCTCTAATTCATGTTAGTGCTGCTTCATATATGAATTGTAGGGTCAAGCTACACCACACCTGGTAATTGCTCATATGAGTAATTGGTAACTATGATTCATTGCACATTGGGGACAAGGAAAGGGCGTTTCCAAAGATTGCCAGCACTCATTTGCATTAAAATATAAAGATGTATGATACTAGCAATAGGGTAACGCTGGCTTGTATTCGGTAGTCTCACTAAGTTTACAATAGCTAAATTAGTGGAAACATTTTTTTACATTTGGGTTAAGCTGTTCTTGATAGGCTCCAACGAATAATCACTTAAGCTGGGTTTTCATAAGTGCGGAGTCTGCTCTCCTCTTGTCTTAGGTAATTCAATGGTACTGTTTTCCTAGAGGCAGAATGGACCGCCATTGGATAAGCAGAAAATCGCTTCTCCACACTCACCAAACCACGCCTAAGAATTACGTTATTGTCTGTATCTGATTACTTTCAACATTCAGGGTGTTTGTGATGCTGAGAGTGTTTGAGTGGATCAAGAGACAAGGAGGAGTACAAGAAATGGCTGCTCGGTCGGCCAAGAAGAGCTCTCTGATCTACAACGCCATCCAACAGTCCGCAGGTTTCTACCTGTGTCCTGTCAAGCCTCGCGCCAGGTCCAGAGTCAACATTCCATTCCGCATCGCTGCCGGAGCAGAGCTCGAGGCTAAGTTTTTGAGTGAGGCCAAAAAAAGGAACATGATACAGCTGAAAGGCCATAGGTATGACAGGTTCTTTTATTTTTGCCATGAGGAGTTTTAAGCCAATAAATACAATGCCTGTTCCAAGCCAAAACTAACCCATACATTGTTCATTGATAAAATTGTCTAGAGCTAGGCAGAGGATAAACAAATCACAATTCATTGAATGAGTTTTAAAATACTTATTTTTAAAAAAAGGGGCTAGTGTCCTCAAAATATTCAGTGTTTCCTTTGTGTTTTTTGTGTTACATTAGTGAAGTAGGATGCCTAAAATTTTTAAGGTAAGCCTGCTTATCCTTTCCTTTTTATCATCAATTCTCAGGCAATTAAACCTTTGAGGAAAAATGATAATTTTGGTTGTGTTACAAAATAAAAATTGATATTTGTTTCACACAATGTGCACTTGGTGAAGCATCAAATAATTCAAATACTTGGTTAATTAACATATTTTGTAGGCGCTTGAAAAGCAAACAAATAGCAATATTTCATGTTTACAATGTTGTGTTACAGAGTGATTTATACATACAAACATTGTTTCAGGCTGGTTGGAGGGATCCGGGCGTCGCTTTACAATGCAGTTACTGTCGAAGAGGCACAAACCTTAGCGGACTTTATGAAAGAGTTCCAAAAAGCAAATTCGTGAAAATCTCAAATTGTTGTTACATTATACTGTACTGTTATCTTATACACTGTGTTAATGTTAATAAATGTTGTTTTGTTTCAAGTCTGATTTTGAACAATTTCCTGCAAGCCACTTTGTGGTATTTCTATTTAAATGAGTCACTTTTTATATTATTTGTTCAGAGAATATGGTTCATTGGGGTATTTGAGCCAATAACACTCCTAATGTGTGACATGCTACCCTTAGAGGATGATCTGCCTTCATTCAATGTTCATAGTCTGATTATATCGGCTCAGTCATTAAATGTTGTTTATAGAAACCTTTTAATGATATTTAAATTAAATATTCTATTATAAAATGGCCACCATAGGTATACAGGTATTTTAAGCCAAGTATGAATGGAGATGAGTAGCGCAATCTCTTAGTCTCGTTAGTGACTTAGGCCGACATAATCCTTAGACACAGCTGTTACTTAATAGCCCATACAGCCAATGGCAACTAAGGGACCTACAGTTTATAGTGGAATCCGAGTCACATTTTTGCCTTGTAATTAACAAATTGGTCTAATTATCAGGATAGTATTGTGGATCATCGTAGTACTCGCTTGTGCAGACCTTAATCCACACCAGGGAGTTTTGTATCCGCAGTGCATGCCTATAAATATCCACAATTTGTGACCTCCTAGTGGCTGGATTAGGTAGAGGAAGACGCCACAGTCTAACAAGGATAAAAAGGGATTAAGGGGTTTGTATAAAACAGAAAAGCATTTCATATCAAACATTTATTCATTCAATTAGCAGATTAAGCCTTTGTCTGGGCGAAGCTTCAACAAGTTATCGTTTATTAAAGCGATTGAATAGCTTTGTACAATATATTTACAAGTCGTAATTGTTAAATACAATAAGATATAAACTCATCGAGTCCAACCACTATATACTTTATAATATACATGATATTACATCAGCTGACTCTGAAAGAGTCATGCTTAGCAACAATATAAATGATCATTATATCAGAAATCACATAGAAATAAATATCCCCGTAAAAGTGCCTCCAAGCCGAATCTATGTATTTGATTATTAATTGTTACAAAGATTCTTTTAGATCCTATATAAATGATTGTGAAAATTTTAATGTGGTTCTTAACTATCACTTAAGTTTAATTCTTAAAACATAATTAGTTAATATTTTAAACAAATCATTTTCATTGTTAAGCTTACCAATAGTCTTTCCATATTGGATACCAACTTCAGTTGTGTATCCACTATCACAGACATTAGGAGTTTCTTTTCCTACAGAATCAACAAACCTACAACTTTACTACCTTTTGCAAATTGTATAAGAGTTCAATAATTAACTGTTTAGTGCCGATATAAAAATATATGCATTTCAGCAATAACATGAGCTTAAATATTAAGTTGTTATAGCGAAGGTATATTATTGTGATATAGGTTTGAAAGGAATAAGTTTTCTACTTACACTGCATAAGGAAAATATTTAAACAGTAATATTATAAATAATTAAAATTACATACATGGAGAATGAACACGAGGAAAATTGGAAATGAGAAGTAAAAGGTATCAACATTCTTATTAACTATTCCTCCGAAAAAACATGAAAGATGAAAAACGTGACCGATTACCTTCTATTTTACAGACTTCCAAGGTGTAATAAAAAAAAAACAATTTTTCATTAGTTTCTTTGTTTTTTCTATGAGGAATTCATCTTTGTAATGATAAGCCAATTCACACAGAAACCTATACAAAATTGGGTGGAAAAGGTTTAACGATTAAATCTGTTTGCATTATAAATAAAAAATCTGTTAAAGAACAACAAAACATACAAAACTCAGTTCAGAAAAATAAATATCCTAAGAGTAGATAAACTGTAAAGATAATAACAACTCAACAAGTCGAAGGGCGAGAAGCCCGCAAATGTACAAAATAGTTACAAAATACGATGAAAATAAAGATCGAATCCAACAGAACTTTAGAAAGTGAATCGCAGATAATTTAATGGTTACGAGTGTATAAATCGTGAGGGAGTGAGTAGGTTACAGGGCGTCGCGATGCCATACCCACTTCTTGGGCGTGTGGTCGAAGTGATGTCCCAGCCATTGTTGTTGCAACAGCTGATACCTGCCTGGACTCAGGTACAACGGCTTACCTCTCCTATAACAGCGTAACATGTACTTATTTTAGACAAAAGTACAACATTATACAATGAATCGTTATGTAGAGAAAGTGATGTGTTGGCATGACTGATTTAGTTAATTAAAATCAGTGACTACCAATCTACTTCTTTCTTCTGGAGCTCTTTGTAGGGACAAAATATCAAGTTTGTTGTGTTATAAAATTACTTTGTGCTTTCAACTAGCTAAAACAGTTATCTTAGACAGGTTAGTTGTGTATCTCTTTCTTCCAATGTATTCCTAAGCCAAGTGCCTTTGTCTCCAAAACATATCTGGATCTAATTGGATTTAACTAATAAAGGGTTAAGGATTTAACATAGTGCACAAGGGCCTAGGTTATAGTCTTTGGCCAGAAAAACTCTCTCTTCCTTAGTTGAAAATGCTATCAGTAACAGAGAAATATTCAAATTTGTTGTGTAAATAGTGTAAAATTGTGTGTTATTGTGTCAGTTTGGACTCATTCCCATTCAGGTAAGCCTGCTATCCTCACTAATAATAATAAAGGTTTTTACCTATTGTCTGTAAAATCGGAAATAATCTACAGCTGTTTCGTGCTGTTAGGAATTAATCACATCAGGTTAGGATGTATAGCATGTTTTGTGTTAATTTAATTGAGGTGTAATTTAATGGTGGTTTTTCATGTAATTTCAATCTCCTGCCAAACTCCACCTTGAGGGAAATTAGTTGCACATTCCAAGTTGATGATGTGCTCCACTTCTCTCAGCACAAAACAGCTGTTAATTATACTAGAACAAAGCATATTGATAGACAAGAGGTAACTAAACCCTTATTTACCTAAGGAAGATAGAACTAACTACTAATTCCTCAAGACCCCTCGTAGGGGTGAAATATAAAACAAATTATGCTGTCAACTTTTTTGTTGAACTTTATTATTCGGTAAACATACTTGAGCTCTCTATCCTCCTCGCCGAAGCTGTCGAGGTAGACGCTGCCCCACAGACAGGCTCGTTTTCCCCGTATGACGATGACGTAGCTGCTGGTGACCACCAGGTACATCGCAGTGCCTGCGCCGCAGTCCACACTGTGCTGCACAGCTTCACACACGTTCAGCTGTTTGCAGCAGTTCTCCTTGAGACACACCAGTGCGCCACACACCAGACACACCGACGTCTCCCTGGGAACGCTGTGGCACTGACTGCACTGCCGTCGGTGGTAGTACTGTGGCACATAGCATACATCAATACTTGCATCTTAAGTAGTCATTATAGCCTATTCCTCCTGCATTTACACCAACTTCTTGATCTTTTCCTATCATGATCATCTACATGATGTTAAGATATGCAAGGAAACAAATGCACTAGATTAGCTTTTAGGTTGTGGCAAGATTTTTAATTTTTGCCTGTGCAAACTATACAATTCATTTCAAATATATAGAATAAGCATAAATGAATGGAATAAAGATATCTTACATGTTCACAATATTATTGCAAGATTCCCGCTCAGAAAAAAACTAAAATAATCCAAATCCTACCTGAGAAAAAAGAAAATTTACCTTCTGATAATTGGGTCCTCAACATATCAGTTGAATGGCTGGTATCCTGAATATTTGAATAATTGCCCCTTGCTACCCACCTATCTGAACGTTAGCGTAAAAAATTGCAACACGTAAAACGCATTCTGTTGGAAAAAAAGTGTTTGTTATTTTGATACCTTGAAATTAACCCTCCAAGTGTCCATAGTTTAGGCCTTAATGTCCACCTATTTTTGGCGCATTTGCAAGGTTTTATTAAAACGGATCTGAGAAGCTTAAAACAATGTTAATTCTAATGTTCTATATACCATTTTGTTTGGAAAATCATGGGCTTCAATATCATACATAAAACATAAGGAATATTTGTTTCAAAAAATTTTTTTAGGTAAAAAAAAAATTATTTTGGAAAAATTGAAAAAAAAATAAGTTTGCGCTCAATGAAATCGTATAAATTATAGGCCTATAAATATTTGAAAATAGCCACTTTGTTCTAAATTTAATGAGGATTACAAATATATAATCATATAGTGAGGTAAGTTATCAAATAAATAAGTTATGAGTGAAAAACGGATTTCAGTACATAGCGTTTAGCTAAGAATGCATTCTGGCTGATAATTTACATCAATATCACTACCTTCAACCAGCCCTTCAAAATCACTTAAATCTTCTTATAATGCACCACGTATATCACTACTTTTGATTTTTAACACTAAAACAATGATAAACGTAATAAAACACATCAGTCATCGGTCCGAGGATAACCAAGCTGTTTACGAATACACACGTCAGCTGTCTGCTACAATTACGATCGGCTCGGAGAACATACAGCGCTGAGACAGACCTCTGGAGAAAGCTTAGAATATAACGGAAAGAACGATACCCAACTCGATCCAGTTCAATCCGATTCAATCAGTCATACAGCCTTCGCCGTAAACGATGTTCGTGCGTCAAAAAATCGACGCGTGACACTACACAAAGTGTGTAGCGCGTCGATTTTTCGACGATGGACGCTCGGAGGGTTAATCTACCCAAACTACTTCCACGTCCCACCAGTAATTCAGTTGATTGAATAGCCAGTCTTATTTTTAGCCATGTTTTCTTTGCTATGGCATAGCCTAATGTGTTTATCAATAGCACATTACAAGGGAATACAACCTAGCAAGGATTGCAATATAACCAGTAGCTCACCTGGAATATCTTGTCGTACAGCTCAGGCAGACTCAGCAGCCTGGGCTGATGCCACACCAGGTGTTGCTCGGACAGGAAACTTCTCGCTGTCACCTGGTTGTGGTTGATGAACTCTGACAGCTGACGTGTCCAGGCGAGCAGGTGACAGCCCGTCGGCTCCGGCCAGCTGAGCGCTACCGCTGCATTGAACAGCTCCAGAGTCATGCCACCTGTACAGGGTGGGAGATTAAA